GATTTTCCTATTTGTTCTTCGAACATCCGATTTACTAGGCGTTGGTATGTGGCACCAGTATTTTTTAATCCAAACGGCATTACATTATAATAATATGTGCCGTTTTTAGTGATGAATGAGGTTTTTTCCTGATCACCCCGGGTCCATCTGTATTTGGTTGTACCCGGAATAGGCATTGACAAAACTGAGGGTCTCGTGGTCGGCCGTGGCATCGATCATATGATCGATGTTGGGCAAAGGAAAAGAGTCTTTGGGGTATACTTTATTCAAATCTTTATAATCTACACACATTCTTACTTTATTCCCTTTTTTAGGGACTACCACTACGTTTGCTAACAAATCCGGGTATTTAACCTCTCGAATGGACCCTATTTTTAGGAGTTTAGATACCTCGTCCTTGATGAAGGCATGTTTGACCTCGGACTAGGGCCTCCTCTTCTGCTTGACCGTATTAAGTTTTGGGTCCATGCTTAGTTTGTGAGTGGTTACTTCTGGTGGGATCCTTGTCATATCAAGATGGGACCAAGCAAAAGAATCTATGTTAACTATAAGAAATTGAATAAATTTTTTCCTGACCTCGGGAGTTAGTCCCATGCCCAGGTATACCTTTCGATCGGACAAATGCTCGATTAATACAACCTGTTCCAGCTCTTCGACCGTCGATTTGGTCGCGTCAGAGTAATCGGGGATTATAAAAGATCGGGGAATCCCGTAATCATCATCTTCGTAGGTCTTTTGCTCATATGATTGGATCGTTACCGGAATCGGTAATTGCTATTTGGCCTCTGGGTCAGCTCTAAAATTCGGTTCCTTCGGTGTTGTGAACGTTGATACCGGAACCACTTCTTCGATGTCAAATATCTCTTTTGCGGCCGGTTGTTCCCCGTAGATTGTCTTGATTCCCCCGGGACTGGGAATTTTAACACTTGGTGAAGAGTTGAGGGTACTGCCCTTATGTGGTTGATCCATGGCCTTCCGAGAAGGGCATTTTACCTCATGTCCCCCTCGATTACATAAAACTTGGCCTCTCGTACGATTCCGACGGTATTGACCGGTAATGTTATTTCCCCTTTGGTGGTTTCACATGCCTTGTTGAACCCGTTTAGGATTCGGACTGCTAGCACGATCCTGTCTTGTAGACTAAGCTGTTCTACGACCTTCGATCGAATAATGTTGGCCGAGCTACCTGGATCAATTAACACACGTTTGATTATAGTTTTATTTATGAGTACATATATTACCAGTGCATCATTGTGAGGTTGTATGATCCCTTTCGTGTCCTCGTCGTTGAAGGATAAGGCTCCTTCAGGTATGTAGTCTCGAGTTCGTTTCTCCCTGGTGATAGAGATTTTGGTGCGTTTCAACATTAGCCCTTGTGGGATGTCGACTCCACCGATGATCATATTTATGACGTGTTGAGGTTCGGTATCTTCTTGTCCTGTCTGTTTATTAAAATCCCTGTTTCTAAAGTGGTTCTTGGCTCGTTCGCTCAAGAATTCTCGAAGGTGCCCATTGTTGAATAAGCGGGCTACTTCTTCTCTTAGCTGTCGACAATATTTCGTTCTATGACCGTGAGTGCCATGATATTTGCACATATGGTTAGGGTCCCTTTGCGCTGGATCGAATTGTAAAGGTCGAGGACATTTTGTATCACTGATGGCGGTATCATTGATATTAAAGTTGTATTTTGATAGCCTCGGTGCTTCTTTAGGCTCGATGGACCTGTCGAAGCCATTTTTGGTCATGAGTCCCCGGTTGCTTCGACCTTGATCACTTCTCCTGTCATTTCTTACGGGGTTCCGCCCCAACCCACTGCTCTTTTGATCTCTATTATAGGGCCTATATCGATCCCCGTTTGATCCTGGTTCATGATCGATGCCCCTCTTGGCTCTATCGAGAGTCCTGGCAGGATATATAGACTTCGAAGGTGCCTCGCGTTGATCATCTTCGACTCTGATTTTCGATTAATACCGATTGTGTACATCGGTCCAGGTAATGGCAAGGGATTCTATCAGGCTTTGCTTTAATTGTTGTGAAGCCACCGGGCTTTGAATATTGAGTCCTTGAGTGAAAGCCTGAATAACTCAATCATCAGCGACCGGCGGCAGATCCGTTCGTTCCATTTGAAAACGGGACACGAACTCCCTGAGCATCTCGTTCTCCTTCTGTTTGACTTTGAAAAGGTCTGATTTCCTGGTTTCGACCTTGATGGCGCCGGCATGTGCTAACGAAAGAGTCCGCAAGCATAGCAAATGAGTCAATAGAATTAGGAGGTAAGTTGTGATACCATATCATGACTCCCTTTGATAGGGTCTTCCCAAATTTTTTCAGCAAAACAGACTCGATTTCATCGTCTTCTAATTCGTTCACTTTAATGGCACATGTATAAGAGGTTGCATGCTCGTTTGGATCGGTCGTTCCGTTGTACTTAGGTATTTCGGGCATACAAAATTTCTTGGGGATCAATTTTGGGGCCGCGCTCGGAGGAAAAGGTTTTTGCACGAACTTCTTGGAATCCAGTTCCTTCAATATCGGGGGTGCTCCTGGGATTTGATCTGCCCTAGAATTATAGGTTTCAACCTTTTTATCATTCACTTCGATCTTCTTTTCCCCTGACTCTATCCGCTTTGTCAACTCCTTGAGCATTTTTATAATTTCGGGGTTAGTCCTTGATTCTTGTTCATTCGACCTTACCACGCCCGATTCCGTTCTGCAGGTGACTTCTTGAGTCGGATCGGGTTTAACCCTACTCGGTGCCTGAGTTTGGCTCTGAACTGAGTTATCGCCACCTGTTGAGCTTGTATCATTTCGAAGATCATGCGCAGGCTAATCCCGTCTTCTTTAATTTTTTGTGTGTTTCGAGCTGTAGATCGGGCTCCACCACGGACGCTATTTTCAGGGTCGGTACGCAAGTTCTCGTCGATGGCCACATGTGAATTTATATCAATTAGATCCGCATTTTGAATTCCAACGACATCAGTGGGTGGCCCCGCATTAGCGGGCACCGTGTTGTTATTCTCACCTTAATGACCGGCCTCATTGTTGATTTGTAGAGGTGCTAATAGAGAGTTTGTCATTTTTGGCCTGAAATCAAAGATACTTCAAAGAGCAAGTGTAAAGTAGTGTGTGTTATGAAAATTTGTATCAAATAACCACTATTGTCCTTAGCCCTATGGTGGGCGTCAAACTGTTTACCCCAAAATCGGATAACAATTGAATTTATACGCGGTTTTAAGGATATGTGATCTAATTTGATACAAAGCGAGAAATCGGATTTAATATGGAAGAATAAGTAGAAAAATAAATGCAAACCATGCAGATTGTATACGGGTAGAGCCGAGCTCGACGCTTGATCGAGCATCTGGAACAATAGGTCAAGGCTCGGCACATACGTAAGAGATCGAAGTTACAGATGTAACAAAGCTCGATATCGAGGATCGAAGTTCGAACAGGATCATCAGATTTGCCCTCGAGTTTATCGAGGACACGACCGACCCTACTTCTAATGGCCTCAAAAAAAAGCTTTGCCAACTCATCCGACAAGGATACGTGATTCTCGCCATTAACCTATCATTATGGCAAGAATCACAAGATTAAGTAAAAAAGGGAGCCAACGGTCTGCATAATTTCTTATAAAATAATATCTTAAAGGCTTAATCTCCCTGGATATATAAAGGGAAATGAGTAATTCATTAGACACATTGTAACATACTTAAAAGAATAAGATACTATTTTTTCCAACTTTGTTCATATTATTCTGGTTTCAATAAGATCACATCTAAATTCGAAGGAAGTTAACCTTGCGAGTCTTAAGTTGTTCAATCTGCATGGTTTGCATTTATTTTTCTACTTATTCTTCCATACTAAATCTGATTTTCCGCTTTGTATCAAATTAGATCACATATCCTTAAAACCGCGTACAAATTCAATTGTTATCCGATTTTGGGGTAAACAACATAAATAGCCGATCATATTCATTATTTACTTTTTCTAGCCATATACATAGTTTATACATTGATTATACATAATTATACATATATAATACATAAATTATGCATATATTATACCTCCACCGGCTATTTTTAGTTTAAGCGATTGTGTGCGCTGCTATTTAGGTTAATTCTTTTATTCATTTTTTGTTCCACTATTTTTGACTAGTCTAGAATTTCAATTCAAGTATCACCTTTTTCCTTTTCTTTTTTTTAATAAATTTTAATATCATTTTGAAATTATCATAATTACTTGCAATGATAATGCATTGTGTGTTCCTCCTTTAATGAAACTTTAAAAAAGAAAAGTTCAATGCTTAAGGTTTTTCGCGTTTATACAATATTCAGGAAAGAAACGCTCCCTAAAAAAATAATGTAAATAATCTATCCTAATACAAATATTAATGACTGACTTATCGTACCGTGTGAATCTTATGCAACACTATCCCAAATTATTTAATGTTCCACTACAAATATTAAACACAACAAAAATACAATGCATTGTCTTGTCACGTGACACGCGCCGTGGAAAACGTTTGTTGGAAGAACAGGCAGTTTGAGATGAGATGATGCAAATAGGCGCATGAATAATGTGCCTTTTTTAAAGTAGATTCCTTTTATATGCCTAACTAGTAACCACCTACCATTCCTTTATTTGAATTTGGGCAATTTTATTGCACAAAATTCAGATTCCATACATTAATAAACCCTAATCATAGTGTTAATTATTTTATCCTCCCATTTATACGGTACTAATGTCAGTTACATTTGACTTAATAATGAAGTTAAATTTGATTAGATTTTTTTAATAATATATTAATTTATAAATCAACTTCATATTTACGCAAGTGAACACAGATCATCATATCAATTTCATTTTCCTAGTATTTATTTTTGGAAACAAATATCAAATTACGGAGGTACTCCCTATTTCTATGTTACTTGAATCATTAATTTTATTTATTTCACTTAGAACCGTAACATTTTAATAATTGAGTCATTAATTATTTCTCTAGTAATACTACATAAAGCAACACGAGTGAAAGCTTCAGCATCCCAATTGACTATGAGCGGAGCTCTGAAAATGGCGACTGACTCTCAAGCATACTTAGAAGGTGACAAGGTTAAAGAAACCAAGTCCTTAATCGCCGAACTCTGCCGTCATTTTTACAACCAGGGCTGGGTTGGGGGCACCGGCGGCAGCATCACCATTAAAGTCCACGATGAATCTATTCCCAAAGCCCAACAACTTATCGTCATGTCCCCTTCCGGTAAGAACCCATTTATTTACGATTTAACCTTACTTTCTATCTATTTTTTGTGTTCTATTTTTTTCTCGTTTGTTTGATTTTTTAAAAATGGTTTTGATTAGGGGTGCAAAAGGAAAGGATGGTGGAAGAGGATATGTATGTGATGTCATCAGATGGGTCTATTTTAACTGCGCCGGTGGCTAAACCTCCTCCCCACAAATTTCCCAAGTGTTCTGATTGTGCTCCTCTTTTTATGAAGGTACAATAGGTCATCAGTGTTATAGTTATAGTTGAAGAGGAAAGTAGGTTGTTATTTTTATCATGGGACAATTGTTTTGCAATCATGTCTATTTGAAATACTGGAATTGATTGTAGTATGTTCTTTGATAGTCTAATCGTTTTGTTGTAATTAAGTAAATACAAGTGTACTGTCTCTAATAGCTTAAGCTTTTAGATGAGATGGTCTCATACATAAGCTTTTAGATGAGATGCTCAAACATTTCAACAATCCAAGCCTGTAGTCTCTTCTTTGTTTCTGGTCAAATTAGCAAACTTTTGCATATTTCATTTCTATCGGGTTCACCTCAGGATCGTTTACTATTTCTCTGCTGCTATCTGTTAAATTTGTTCTCTCTCTCTCTCTTCCTCTCTCAATATTCTAGTAACAGCCAGGATTGTTAGTTGTACACTGTTGTCAAAGGTGCGCGTAAGTCCTGAAGCGAGCCGTAAAACATGTTGAGAGCTTCGCCTCGCTTAGCGGACGCGTCAGTGTCGTCATCAAGGTTCTAAGCATACTTTTTCTTGCCAATGAGCGTAATCGTGAAGAGGCGGCATTAAACAATTGAGATTTCACTTTGTCTTTTTTTTTTTTTTTTTTTGAATTTCTTTGTCCATCTATTTGTTATTCTAGCTTATAATTATATAGTCTTGGACTATACATACATATTAATATGTATTTTTTCTCCATTTGCGCTTTTCTTCATTAAACTTCGCATTGCGCTTTGCACTTAAAGCTCTAATGGACCTTAGAGCTTTTTTTGCGCTTTTCGCCTTTGATAACACTGATTTATACTTGAATTCTCTTAGTTCTTTTTGATTCTGTATTCTATTTTGGGGATTGTAAGTTATTTCCTTTTTGTTTTTCCTTAGGCATATGAGATGCGTAATGCTGGTGCCGTTATCCACAGTCATGGAATGGAATCCTGCCTTGTAACAATGCTTAATCCACTAGCAAAAGAATTTCGGGTAAATATTGCTACAAGCTTTTGTAAAGTTACCACCATCTTGGTGTGCATTAAAACAAAAAAGGGGAACTTGGTAATGCTGAGGTCCAAACATTCGACATAGTCCGTATAATGCTGACTATAGATTTGTTTCCCCATTGACTATAGATATTTTGGATTTTTATTTGAGAATCAATTTTCCTTCTAATAAAGATACTTGTACTTTTCCTATATTATATGAAGTCTAATCCTAACGCTTCTTCTCTTTGCCCATAATTGTATATAGGCTAGTTATTTCATATAGCAGAGACAATTAGTTTTGGACTGAGGCATAGTTGATTGATCTCTGAAGAGTATATGCATTTGAAACTTTCTATTTTACCAATGTAATAAGTTACTACTTTCTCTATCTCCTCTGCCAAATTGCCCTAGCCCAACTGATAAAATTTTAAAACACATCTAATTCCGCATTGTAAAATACTGAAACCTATTGTTCTTTTTCATCTCATCTACTATTCGTTGTTGCTTTGATTGACAGATCACTCATATGGAAATGATAAAAGGAATTCAAGGGCATGGTTACTATGACGAACTTGTGGTTCCTATCATAGAGAACACTGCATATGAGAGAGAACTCACAGAATCTCTTACTGAAGCTGTATGCATCTCCATCTTCTAAAAGTCACACCCTTCCTTTGCATGATCTCATGTCTACCACGATCTGTTCGTTTGTGTATCTGCACTTATTTTGTTCTTTTTTCTTCTCTGCTTTAAGTCATTAGTTTTAGATGGTTTAACTGGAACTGCTATAATCAAATTATTGTTAAGTAAGTCAATGTTATTCCTGTTTTTTCTTGGCTGTGACCACCAAACAGGGTGACAGTTTTTCACTTGCAAAGTAACAAAAATACATTGCTGTTGCTCAATCATTCAACTGCTAAATTTGTTTGTTACAACTTGCTGTTGCTGTCGGCAATTCTGCTTCACTGCTGAATTTGTTCAGCAGTTATAACAATACATGGAAGAAAGTAGACTGGTTTGTTTTATTTTTTTTAAGTAAAATTTTGCTTAAAGCATTGATTGCACTTGATACCCTGTCCCTTGAAGAAGGGAAAATCATGGAATAGTTTGTCGCATTCATAGAGCAGTTCTAAATTCTAATAATACATGAAAAATTGACTAGGTTCCTTTGTTATCATTTTGGCCAGTCTCACAAAATGGGTAGCCATTAAGGGAAGCGGCTGGCAGATATTTATTTTTAACAAGTGATGTCGAGCTAAATAGAATTGACTGCACGACGTACCCTATCCATAAAAGACAAGATGAAGTTATAAACTACTACTTCTTCCATTCATCTTTGGAAACTAACGGTTGATAAGCAGATTGGGAACACTTCTTGCATGATGATGCTTTTATATTTCCACTTTACTGTAGTCTTTTATCTGCTCTGACAAGTTACTTTTTTCTTTTGGTGGATTACATGCTATTATGTCTCTCTAGCTGGTAAACGAAGTGTAAAGCTATCTTGTTACGGTAAGCAAATATAAACTAAACTAATCACATGTGTAAAGAGATGTTTACCTCGCACAGAGAGCTCATGCCTACTGGCTCTGCCCTTGAGGTGCTACCCACTACTTTGGGTCAGTAGGAGCACCCTGAGCTAGTTTCAAATTCCTGGTTTCCAATGGAAATTCTAGATGGTTTTTACTGGCTTCAGTGTCATGTCTGTCCTTAACTAATCATTTCTGCCTTTAACATTGACCTGGCATTGTGCTTTGCTATCGTAGCCATACAGGTTAATAATTAACCAACAAGAAATGGTTCTAGTAACAATTTGTTGAGAATTGAAGTGGATCTTTTGTAGTAAGAAGAATTACATAGCTCAAGTCACAAGATGTATGCTACAGCTCCCTTAATTACCACGAAGGAGTCTGCTATAGCAGTTTAAATTTTAGAAGTCAAGATTTACTCTATATCACATACAGAATAAACTACGCACATGTGAAGCTAGGTACCAAGAAACATAAAAAACTGTTTCCAGGTCCATTGAAGGAACTAGAGGAGTGATGCAAGTCAACCTCCCCCCTCTCTCGTGGATGAGTGGGGGGTTATGCAGGAGAAATTCTATATCAGCTCTAATATAGAAGATCGAAATAAATTTAGTTGTATAAATGGTTTTCCTCAAAAGACAAAAGCTAGAGCATAAGGATGACATTCCACCCAAAATTATTTGTCACGAAAGTCGAAACACAAAGTTCTATAATTACTCACTCTTTCGAGTAACCAAATTTGAGTAGCCCAGTGTTTTACAGTAAACTTGATAGGTTATATTTTATGCAGGGATTAGGGTATAGAAGTCTTGCCTGTAGGTTGGCTGTTAGCATAAAAATAGTCAAACTAGGATGTATTCTCCGAATGACAATAGAAGGGTTCGTATAGCCGGCCACCTAGTTTAGAATTGATGCCTAATTTGTTACAGTATTGTTTATAGCTTAATTGTTGGAAGGGAATAGGGAATTTTTTACCATTTAAGGATAGAGGTCCAGATTTTGCAACGGAAGAGAGGAGAAATAAGTCATTTATGAAATATGAGGATAGAGGGAATATTCTCAAAGAGTCATCTGCATATTATGAAGACTAACTGTATATCAAGGTTAGGTATCCAATAATATCCATAGCTGTCTCCTAAATTAGTACACTTCTTATTATGCTTCCCCAAGGTTTAGGATCATATTTAATGCTCTACTATTTACACGAAGCTTGATAATCTGCCTAAACAAGGTTTTAATTTGATTCATGCATATTTGGAGACATCTGTTTTTGGTTTGAGTAGCATGTAAATTTTTTCCGTTATTTTCTCGTGAGAAAAATATAGTAGATGCCTGATGCCATTACTCACCTTTGAAAGAAGACTTAACTGAAGAAGTGAAGATTTTCAGCCTTTTTCTAGTGATGGTCCTATCTATTGAGTGACACAGTATTAAATTTTTTTCCATGTTGAACAGATCAAAGCTTACCCAAAAGCAACAGCCGTGCTGGTCCGCAACCATGGTATATATGTGTGGGGAGATTCTTGGATCAGTGCTAAAACACAGGTTTGCATCATGAACCATATGGTCTAGTACTTCCAATATGGGTTTAGTAGCTACTAATAGTTATCTTGCTTCTAGTGTATTTTGTTACACCCTACTCTGCAAAAATCATTGATTGATTTAACACTATCCTTTTTTGTTTGGGGTGACATGGTTAGGTAGAAGATAGATTTAATAATATTGATTTAATATGTGCTAGTAAGTTAAGGATGACCTCTGTAGGATTTTCTATGTACATCTTTTAATCTATTTAAGAATGTAAGTATCGAAACAGTCCTCAGATCAATAAGTTTGATGTATCTGAGAATTTACGTTTCATTTGGCACTCTTCTAATTGACATGCTATCTTCCAGGCTGAGTGCTACCACTACCTCTTTGATGCTGCTATTAAACTTCATCAATTAGGACTTGACTGGACAACACCAGCTCATGGTCCCATTCATAACCCCAATGGTCCTTTTGTTGGCATCCAGAATGCCAAAATATCTGCAAAAGCAGGTACTCTTGCTTCAAATGGCAGCAGCATTGAACCATCAAGGGTAAGCATTTGAAAATTTTAGACCATCCTCTGATTTGAAATTCAACGGTTTAGGTCTTTGTCTTAGGTATTTCCATTGAGTTGTTATTGTTGTCTCCATTGTGATATTTATAATTTTTCGCAGCGGTGCATCATTTTGGATATAGAAGGAACCACTACCCCAATAACATTTGTTACTGATGTTCTGTTCCCTTATGCACGTGATAATGTGGGGAGACATTTGGATGCTACATATGGCTCAGCAGAAACTCAACAGGATATTAAGTTATTACGTGCTCAAGTAAGTAAACTTACTGAGAAATAGCTTTGTGAAAAAGGTCTTCAAAAGAGTTGAGCCTTTTTCTTGGAAAGATTTGTGGTGAGGTGATATTATTGTCATAATGGTGTTTTGCATGTCAGTTTCTGGAGGACACTTGGGAAAAATTAACAAAACTTTTGGGTGTAACTAACTTGAAAAGTTAATGAGAAATCCAAACCTGGATTGACTAAAAGTTATGCCAAACTCTCATTACAACTTTGTCACGACCCAAAGTACCTCCTAGCCATGATTGACACCTAATGAGCACCTACCAGCTAGGCGAACCAGATTTCTATCACATGTATTCCAACCGCTAACCAAACAGCAAAACGTTAAGTATAAAGTAGGGCAATCTCCAATATCAGCACAAACAGAAATACAAAGTGTAACTCGCAATACAACCCATAATCTAAGTCATGGAGTGTCTAAGACACAAATCCAAATACCAAATGCCTGGTCTGAGCCCTACAAATGTTGTAAAAGCATAAACCAAATGATAGGCGGCAACCTTCATAGACTGCATATATCGAGAAGCCATGGCCCTCCCTGCTCAAATTCTCGACATTCCCCACTTGCTGAAAGTAATATTGAAAAGTGTAAACAAATGTGCTGATTTTTGAATCTTGCCTCTGCCATCTTCTTTCAGGTGCAACAAGACCTAGAAAATGGTGTTGCTGGTGCTGTGCATATCCCGTCTGAAGATGCTGGGAAGATGGAAGTACTTGCAGCTTTGGTTGCTAATGTAGAGGCAATGATTAAAGCGGACCGAAAGATTATTGCATTGAAGGAGTTACAGGTGAGAACAGTGGTACCTAGGTCCCTCAAATATTATAAAGTTTCATAATTTAGTTGCTTACAACTTGTGCTTTTTTTTTTTTCATATTCTCATACTCAGGGACATATATGGCAAACTGGGTTTGAGAATAATGAGTTAGAGGGACTTGTTTTTGATGATGTGCCTCAAGCTCTTGAGAAATGGACCTCTTTAGGCTTCAAGGTTTCTTTCATCTTTCCTTGTTTCAGTACTCTCTGCATTCCTCCCTTTTCCGTAAGCTCTAGTGCTATCCAAATTTTGTTGCAAATGCAAACCATTATGACCATCAAAGAAGTTGCTCTGATTCTTTTTGAAAGGCTTCAGCATGCTGCATGGTTTAAGTGTGTTCTTGTTCATTATCATGACGAGGTAATGCCTTGGTCTATAATCTCCATCTGCTAGTCATATTAATTAGTTTTTGTACCTTAGGTATACATATACTCAAGTGGCAGCAGATTGGCACAGAGACTTTTGTTTGGTCACACAAAACATGGAGACCTGAGAAATTATCTCTGTGGATTTTTCGATACAACAGTGGGGTAAATTTCTACCTTTCAGCGGGTTTTCATATTTTGATACTTTTGTCAGTTGAAGTAATTCATCTTTCTCCTTTTCTGCTGTAGAAACAAGAGAGAAACAAAAAGTTACCAAGAAATTACAGCATCGTTGGGAGTAGATAATCCATCAGAGATATTGTTTTTGACAGATGTCTATCAAGAAGCAACAGCTGCAAAGGCAGCAGGTAATGTCCTGCTCATTTTGTATGAAACAACTCTGTGAATTTGCTAGCTCTTCCGCTCTTCCTTGAAAGCAGATACTAGCTGAAAAAGTAGCTTGGTCAACAATTGTGTTGCCTATTTAGGATGTTAGTACTTTTATTGTTGGTGTGATTCCTCTTTTAACTCCAACAGCTAGCAGTTTATCTAGACACGACTTGTGTGAGCCTGTGGGATGTCACTTATATAAGCTATACTTCAACGAAAAAGAACTTATGCATATGCTTCACTGACGTTGCTGCCCTTTTGGCTCCTTCAGGTTTGGAAGTGATAATCTCTGTCAGACCAGGAAACGGACCTCTCCCGGATAATCACGGGTTCAGGACAATCCGATCATTTTCAGAGATCTGAAGATGGAATGTGTCATCCTGTAACATTTTCCATGTATGGTGTAACATATCATAATAAAAGAAAGTTGGGGGTAGGTCCATGTTTCTCTAGCAAAAATTAATAGAGTTGCTTGAGTCATACTGCTGCTCTTACCTTTCACAAATGGGGTGGGGGTGGGGGGTGGGGGTGTCCATTTGCGTGTTGCAACCTTAGGATTAGTGTCAACTAGTTTCCTCTTTTCTGTTGTATTGAGATGGTATTAAGTTAACTTATGAGAACAATTTCCGGAGATCGACGTTTTTAGTTCCATTTCCAAAGAGATGGCTGGAGTGGAACCTCGCTCCTCATTTCTAAATAAGGTAGCTTGCTGGTTTTTCCCTCGGTTAATGTATAGAAAATTGAATGAAAACTGGCGAAAAAGAAGTATGCTGAGGAACAAAATTCTCAATCCGCTCTTCCTCTACAAAATAGTCTCAAAACGGTCTTAAGTTGATCTTTTTGACAGTTCTTGTACCCTTGGCTTGGCAGCCCGATCTGAAGAATTCAAGATTTATGTCCGATTCAGGTTGGTAAGAGACAGTACAAAAGTTTTCACTGTATTCGTCGTAGCTTACTCTATCTATTTGGTATGAGGTCAATTGTTGCTTCCTCTCGCGAGATTGCACGCCTGTACAGTTGGGAAAGAATGAGCGATGAATTGTTCCTTCTTTTTTTTTCCTTTAAATGATGCCTCTTCGTGGTTTTGTTTGGGGAAAAAGACGTGCATGCTATTTTAATGAGATGAGAAGTTTATTTATAAATGGAGAGACTAGTCTATAAGGTAACGCAAATTATATTAGTGGTTTTGGAGCTGAGTGATTTTACGGTGCCTCACACAACTGATATTATTTGTGTTCAGTTGTTTGAAGCTTCTTTTTATCTCGCATATTTGTAGACCTATATCTTACACATCTAGGTCCATAAAATTTTGAGGCTAAAAAGAGTCCTCATACAACTACAACAAGTGAATAAAATTTTTCGCAAAGGAATCTCTTGCTACAAGGGCAGAGAAATAAAAAGTTGAAAAGAAATCACATATTGTATTGACATATAACTTGTGGTACATATAGTGGACATATCACAGTCCTAGTCATACTGTTATCCCTTCATTTGTCTAACTTTTCAATCATAATTGGTTCTCACTTTCTCTTCCTGCAATTTCCTTTTCATTGTGTATGTCGTCATTCCCTAACAGCTGGTCTTTTCTAAGTCAAAAGACAACCTTATAGAAGAAGGCTTTATATGTGGAGTGCAGAAACAAAGTGCACATCTTTTGGACTCAAACGCCACAAATAGTAAAAAATAAATTTGTGTACCATTTTATATATAGCGTGGTTATTCACCGCGCTATATCTTAACAACACATTTGTCCGTTAAGATATAGCGCGGTGAATAACCGCGCTAAATTTGAACTCAAAAAGGGTAGGATGTATAGCGCACATATAGGACGCGCTATAGTATAGCACATCCTATATATGCACTATATCTACTTTAAAAAGCGGGCATCTATCTTCCCCGACCAGAATACCAGTTACCCCCTTTCCCATTCCAGCACCCCCCCCCCCCCTTTTTAAAGCAAAAAA